CGAACTAATGCACAGAATTTGTTCTGATTAGATGGACAAAATAGAAACAGTAAAGCATTATGCAATTTTTCTTTTCTTCATTTTGAAGAAGAGGATGGGATAATCCCGTGGAGAGAAAAAATAAAGTATTCAGCCTTCCTACTGTCTGAGCTATGATGAAGAGTGATTCTGACTGGCTCAAGCAGCCAGACAGGCCTTGGTATTAAAATTAGAGAAAGCAGAGGTTGTTTATTCCAGCAGAAGATTCATTGATTTATGCAGTCTAGGCTGTTTATGGCTGCTTTGTAACCCATCTGTGCAGTGCTGGGTGCCATTTAGCCCCAGCAGCTAATAAAGCAGTTGTGTAAACCCTGTGCTGTATTTGTGTGAATACAGGAAACAGTCAGGGAGGGAGACCGTGCCTGGCTTCAGAAAGCTCTCCCTCTGAATGATAATACATGCAGTGGTTGGTGAGTAAAGTTGCATCATTTTGATTTACTGTCTTAAAATGCTGCAGGAGATGAGAACCACATTACCCAGCAGTCAGGGATGATGTGTTCTCAAATGAAACACACGTGCAAATCAAATTGTGATGTGTAATACACGTACATGCCCGTGATGCCTTGTACCTACAGTGAAGAAGCATGTTTATGTGATTCAGCTCTTGAAACCTGATATAAGTGATCCAGCCTCTCCACAAGCTGCACTGAGACGTGAGAGTGTAGCAGCGAGGAAGACATTACCAGCTGCTTCCACTCAGCGTGCTTCCCGTTCAATTTGATCAGTGAGCAAAACAAAACACTAAAAACAAAAAGAAAGATCTTTTGAAGTGGTTCCCAGTGTGTGATCCAATTTAATTGGATTTCTGTCAATTATTTTTAAGAGTCGTTTCCTGTCTGGGTTGAAATTTTGTCTGATTTCTCAGAAACAAAGAAATCATCTTTTTCATATCACATTATTTACATGTCATGCATTTTCCAACCTGTTCATCAATAACCATATCAAACAGGAAAATATGGTGCAATTAATTAGTTGATTGGAGTGTGACACTTTGAGTCTAGATTATTGAACCTTTTCACAATATTCTAATAAGTCTGATATTTTTAATTTGGGATTTTCATAAACTGTATGCCATAATCATCATAATTACAACAAATACAGACTTAAAACATTTCATTATGTATGCAATGAGTCTGTCTGGTATACTAGTTGGTAACATTTCACAATAAGGTCCCTTTATTAATCTTAATGCATTATTAAAGTGACAACGTGTATCAATTTCTATTCAAATGTTGTTTAAAATGAATAAAATGAAGTTTTATGAAAATATTGGCATCGTCATAGCATATAACTATAAAAATCAGGTCTAAAGTACATAGAGTGTGGGACTAGCATCTTTGGGGGATGCCATATTAGACTTAGCTTAGTAAGGCATTAGATATGGTTAAGAACAAGAAGAAGAAGAAAATATCATTTCTATAGCGCCTCTCAAGATAAAAATCACGAGGCGCTTCACAAAAAAAAAAATGTAAAAAGAATTTAGAAAATGGTTGAAAATATATTTAAATTTAGCAAAAATAGACCATTGTGATTAAAAAAATGTAAAGAAAGAGAGAGCGTAAATAGGAAAGAGGGAAATCAGTGGATCCTGAGGAAGGTGGAATAGGTGGGGAGAGCAGAACAAGGAGAGGGTGATGAAGCTCACACCAAAACCAGCTTGAACAAGCGAGTTTTCAGCTGCTTTTTAAAGGAGACCACTGAGTCCACTGATCTCAGGCTCAGGGGGAGAGAGGTCCAGAGTCTGGGGGCCACAGCAGCAAATGATCTGTCACCTTTGGTCTTTAGCCTGGTGTGCTGCACAACCAGTAGGCTTTGATCACTGGACCTCAGGGACCTGCTGGGGGTGTAGGGACTGAGAAGATCACCAATGTAAGATGGTGCTTGTCCATGTAAGGCCCTATAGACCAGAACCAGGATCTTGAAATGAACTCTGAAGGTGACTGGCAGCCAGTGAAGCTGGAGGAGAAGTGGGGTGATGTGGGTGTGTTTGGAGGACTTGGTCAGAAGCCGAGCACAGGCATTCTGAACCACCTGTAGACGGTTCAGGGAGGTTCTGCTCAGACACGTGAAAAGAGAGTTACAGTAGTCTATGCTGCTCCCTTGGTTCCCCTTTTAATAAATTATTATTTAAACCTTTTACCCAAGTCTCCGTGTTGATTCTGTATGTCGTGGGTTAGATATTTACACCACATGACACTTAGGCTCCCTATTCAGAGTAAATGTGACTGAATTACGCTCTTTTATTATTCTACTCATCAAACATTAATGGTGATAAAATATTTTTTGGTTCTTTTGGTTCTGCAACAACAAAACCTGCTGTTCCAGAGAAGCCTAAATTGGCCTCCTTCGCTGGGCAAGCAGAACAGATTAAAAAGAAAATTGCATGAAAATCTGCATTAAAAACAAACAGCTGACACAATCCAACATCACAGCGACTGCTGAGTCATTGCTTAAGCAGCTCGAAGAGTCGTTATTTGTTAATGAAAGTGCAGCAGTGGCTGCAGAGAATAAGGGGCTTGCTGTATTTTCAGAAGAAATTCAGTTAATCACTGTTAATTGCAGGATGAACTCAGAATTGCTACAAAAGGACTTTGCATTTGCTTTAATGAAGTGCTTCAAGTACCTTCGTGAGTTTAAGGGAACAATCATCAGTGCAGCTCCACGTGTGCCAAACTCGTAACAATCCATCTTTTGCAAGTTTGTTTTAAGCAAAACACTCCATGCATTTATTGAATTTCTTTTTATTTATGTAGTCACTGAAGGTTTCATCAATAACCTTGGAAATAAAAGCGTGCACACAGAAATCTCACAGCAGACACTTTTGAAACTTGTTACAAGCGTTCTTGAATGGACAAGACCTCCATCGTCCCTGACTCTGAGCCAGTAACAGCTGATGAATCTATTCCATCATCTTTATTTCCCTCCATCTCCTTCACCCTCCCGCAACCTCGTTTTTATTCTGCCCCCAAGCTTCAGGGGTCCATCAGAGGACAAGAGGGGCTCATTCAGCTTTGGAAGTTGGGATTTTTCTTTCAGCCTCAAGAGGATGAGGAGAATGCTTGGTAATGTTCTCTGAATGGATGTTAATTACTGATTTGAGGAAGAAGCTGGAGAACCTAGATGGACATAGACACACAAGGAGACGAGATGGAGAAGTAATCCACGGCTGAGTGGTAAATTGAACGATAAGTGTCTAATGGTGGGGAACCAGCAGGAAGCGTAGAGAATGGAAGCAAAATAAAAACCTGCTGTATCAGCTCGACACCTGCTGATTAGCTGCTTTCAGCTTGAACTATCAGAAATTTCTGCAGATGTTTTAGACATCTTGTCTAAGAATTCACTTTCTTACATTTTGCATAATTTGAAGGGCTGGTTTAAAATAACTTTTAAAACAGCCAAGTTATCAAACCAGGCAAGTAGAGGACGGATGTTTATTTGACTGGTACAAATTCACATTTAGTTTCTTCCATTTAGCATCTGCCTCATTACGTTATGGTAACATATTCACCAAAATACAACACAGCTCAGCTGCTTTTGCCTCATGGGGGATGGTGGAGATGATGGTCATCACTGAAGGCTGTTAAAATAAATGAAAAGGACCAGAAGATATGATAGAACAGCCAACTGTGAAATGAGACCAGGCATGTGAGAAAACCAGCTTTCCATAAGGAGCTCCAAGGAAATACAGCATTGCTTATGGGAATGCTTATGAATTTTACAGATGCTTTACCCAAAGCCATTTAGAGATTTACTCGTATTGCATGTTTTGGCCTGTGGGAGTACCCACGTGTGTATAAGAAGAACATGCTAACTCCTAACAGCAAACCCACAGCCAGGATTCAAACCTGCAACCTTCTTGCAGCAAGGCAACAATGCTACCATCTGTCCCACAATGCAGCACTGGTTTTCTAAAATAACAAATACCTGTGCAAACTCTGTCAAAGCTGCAATGGCAAATCTGCAAAACAAGTTAGCTTTTAAACACAAACACCGTCACGGAACTCTCAAAGGCAATAAAGTTTTCCCATTTTGAAAGTGATCAGGTTTTTGAATTATGAATATAATGCAACCACTAGTGCATCACATGGCACAGGTAGCTGTGGCGTTTAGAGGCATCCTTTAGTTTTATTTCTCCAAACACAAGAAGAAAAGCTCTTTTCTATTGCACCTCTCAAGATAAAAATCACGAGATGCTTCACAAAAACAAAAAATGTAAATTATAAAAAATAATTTAGAAGATGATTAAAATATATTTTAAATGAGCAAAAATAGACTGTTGTGATTAATAAATATAAAGAAAGAGAGAGTGGATAGGAAAGAGAGAAATCAGTGGATCCCGAGGAAGGTGGAATAGGTAGGGAGAGCAGAACAAGGAGAAGGTGGTGAAGGTCACACCAAAGCCAGCTTGAACAGGTGAGTTTTCAGCTGTGTTTTAAGCATTCAGGAACCAAGGACAACATACAAAATGGTAATTATAACTTCAAATTTGTCAAAGAAAATCACCCCACCCCTGTGAGAGCATTCACTGACTCTTACCGTTTTTGTCCATTTGCATCAGTGCTGCAGCTAATTATGATTTTGTTTGCATCTCAAATGTTCTTTGCTTGATGCAGCTGACTTGTAAATTACACCGCAGCCAAAAGAGGTAGAAGCCTCATTGCACACGCTAATGAGGCTTTCACAAAACCCGATGAAGAACTGTTCTGTTGTTAGCTTCTTGCGATCAGAACAGGGATGAGTCCAAGAAGGTTTAGCTTTATTAGCTTTTTTATACATATTAATGACTTCATGAATCTAATCAATTACCAACGTTCTGTCACTTAAAGGTGCTGTTAATTAAAGCTAATATTCCTCAGGCGTCCATTCAGAGAGAGTGAGGGCGAGAAGCTTGATTTTCATTATAAGGACAAGAATAAAGGCTTGGAAACATGAAACAGTAATTATGCCTCTGCAGTTCTTACCTGCAGTTCTTAGAACAGTTTTCCTCTGTGATTCCGTCCTCATCTTCGCCCCAAACATCCACTGCAGAGAAAATCAACGCCACGAGCACAGCAAAGCAGCACACCAGGGCAAAGATTGCGATACACTTCTGCTGAGACTGCAAGGAAGAGAAACACAACAACATTGATTATGGTTTATTTTTTGCTCCTCAACTCAACTGTAAGGCCAGAGCTCCCCAGCCTTGACCCCTATTAGCCGTCTGGATGACAGGACTGATTTACTGCTCAGCTCAGCAGGTCACCATATGATGGAGGAGATGTCAGCATGGACATGTAGGCTCATGCATGACCCATAGACTCTGACGCAGCATTGAGAGGGGATGAAAGAGGGAGAGAACAGAAGTGGTTTTCAGAATCACAGATTATGAAATTAGAAGATCTATATTATTATAAAATAATGCAATTTATGTTTAGAGTAAAATTAATGGCTCTGCCAAAAAATATACTAATTTTTTTTGCAAAGAGGGAAAGTAAATATGTTTTAAGAGGTGTATGAATGTTTGTTCTACAAAAAGCCAAAAAGGGCATGAAAAGGAGATGTATCTCTGTAATGGGAGTAAAAATTTTGGAATGAGGCTAAAAATAGAATTACAATTAGCAACTTCTCTTTCAGTTCTTAAAAAACTTATCAGTAAAAATATTTTTGAAGAGTATTAATTTGATGTTGATGGATGGATTTGTGTTTTATTTTTATTTGGGTTGTTGGTTCATTGCAGGAAATTGAAAAATTGTTTTGTAAGTAGGTTAGGCAATTATACAAGCTATTGCTTCTGCCTAAACCTATTCAGTCATGAGATACCAAATAGACACCATACACAAATGAATGTATATGTTAGTGAGAAATGGTATTTGTATCTATTTGTATGACATGTTATTGTACACATTGTCTTAAGATGACTGACTGAATAAAATTGATCATTCATTCATTCAAGTAAAATGAGTGTGATTATGAAGAAACAGGAAGCAAAAGAAGAAAAAACACGCTGTTTGTAGATATTTTTAGCCATGATGACCTTAGCATGTTTGGACTCATTCCAAAAAAGCGTTCTGTAGCATGTTCTGTGAGGGCGTTAGAGACGTGAAGGTGACTGGATCCCAGCTGTTACTTCTCACCCCAATCCATTTTTGAGCCACAAGTTTATCTATTCCACACAAAGTAAATTCTCCCCCTCTGTCAAACATTTTGGGTAAAAATATAAGCAATGTGTCAGAGTGGAACTGCCTTATGTAAGAATGCAGAAAAGTATGATTAAAATGTTTTCACGTCATACATCTTCTAATGAATCATTACAAGTTGATAAGCATACGTGATGATGTGCATTTTACCAGGTGATAGGGGGCAGTACATACCTAAATCATTGCTAGCAAGCGGTATTTTGGTGTTTGAGTAAGACCATACCAACAGATAGCCATTAGGGTCAAAAATCCCTGGGAGTGCAACCTCCAGCAAAATGGCAAAACATCAGACTCACTTTCATCACTGGCAATGAGTGAAGAGGTTAATGTGCAAAACAATGTTAATAAATGACAAAAGTTTTTAAACTGTTTGTTACACAGCAGTAAATGCATTTTGTCCTCATAGGCTCCCGTAGAAGGAAACATGGTGACTACTATGGCGTCGCCCAGAGACTTGGACCCCCTCCCATGTAGTTTAGACCCAATTTTTATAGTTATATGTTACAAAGCTGCCAACATTTTTCAACAACTGGACATCATTTAATTAATCTTCAACAACATTTCAATGGATATTTCAAAAGATTAATGGTAAAAACTTCATATTGTCACTTAGAATATTTTGTATAAGCATTTTTTCTGACCTATATGTTATTCTGCTTTGCACACTGATCATCACACTAATTGGAAGGCATGTGTGTATATTCACATAAACAACGTGGACCCTTTGGTTCATACCAGCCAAACAGGCCTTTTCCAGACACAGAACACCATTCATTACTGCTGACAGGATGTGGGAATGTGCTCCTATTTCTTAATAAGATTCTGTCCAAAGGGAATAGTGGACCTTTGAAAGAAAAAGTGGAAAAGACAGAAACTACCGGTGCAGTATTCTCTGTTGCATTATTTCATAATAGACACAATTAGATGAATATGTATACGAGTTGAGTTTTCTAAGTAAGTATTGCATGTTATGCCCTTATAAATAACTTTATTTTTCTCCTGTTTTGCCTACTCAAATAAATGGAAATTCACTTCAAATTACTACAGTGAGCTATTTTCACAGTCCCACATGCGATATGTGTATAGAGTAAAACCAAAATCATGAAATAAATCAAAAATAACATATTTGCTTGGCACATTTTCATTTCCCAACCACTACATAGTTTGTAGTTCTCACATGTGTCTTAATATTCTGCTGTAATTAATTCTAAATAAGTTGGTTGGCACAGCTTGTGTGGTTCTGATGGTTACTTAATAGTATTAAAGTGCAAGAATGTATTTTGTAAACACAGAATTTGATTGTGAGTGAACTGATTGTGCTGGAAAAATGGCTTAATATCGACAAGAAATATGTTTACTCTTACGTTAAATGAGGATTGCATCTCCTGAGATGTCAGGAGTGAAAAAGCCCAGTTTAACACGGCAGGTGGAGGGTGTTTATTGATTTTCTTTTGCATTTGGAAGTCTGGCAACTATTGCCTTAACATGTCCTCAGTCTGTTTTTTCTTTGACCCAGCAACTATAAAATACCCAAACCGTGTATAAAACAATAACAAATGATTATTAATATGAAACCTGCCAGAAGAAGGAAACCTAATTCCAAACTGCGCACATCATTAGCACACCCAGCCAAACTCATTATCCTCAGAGACAAAACTCATATCATGCTCAGCCTTTGTGAGCTGCAAACACAACACGTTCATTATGTTACAGTGTTTATTGCAGCTAAAGAGATTTATGTCTGGGTCCTCATACGGGAAATAAATTCATCTAAAACAACAGTCGATGAAGTGTTCCCTGGGTACCAGAGAGTCAGTAGCCCGGCTGTTTCAGAGAGTTTCGTGCTCACACAAGCGTTCGTCAGAGCTAGGGCTGCAGGCGCAATAATGTATAAGAACCAATATTAGGGGTGAGTAGAAAAAGGCGAGTCAGCTTTATTTATATAGCACATTTCACTCATAGAGGCAATTCAATGTGCTTTCCATTCGCGATAATAATGCAAATATTAAATCAATGTGACGGCAATATTAAAATCCAGAAATAAATTTAGGCCAAATTAAATACACAAATTAACTTCAGATTTAAGAATCAGAAAAAAGACAAAGTTAAAGGGTGAGCAGTTACAGTGCAGAAAGTGCAGCATAAGAAACATTCATTCAAAGTTAGATGAAAACTAGCCTGGCCTGCCAGACTCGTCCTCTGTTTAATTCTACACAGAAAACTAAGCTGGTTTCTCACAGGCAGAGAGGCACATGAGGGGCGGGACTAGCCAGTTCAAACACAACCAATCAGAAAACAGGCAGAAATGATGACTGTATTGCGCAACGCTGTAGTTTTTTTTAGCTGTAGTCAAAAACGGTGTCTGGCGTCTTTCTTTAGAAGAAAGGCTTTTAGCACTTTTCCTTGTTGTGGTTTTAAAGACATGCTCAAGTCATTTAGAACAGAGGAAAGAGCCACAGCAAATTCTGTTAATGAGAAACAGAGCGTTGCGATGCGTAACGTACGTAATATACTTCAAGGAGGTCCGACATGTATTCTGGCCCCATGCCACTGATTGGTTTATAAACTAGTAGCAGCACTTTGAAGTCGATTCTGCAGTTTACTGGTAACTAGTGTAGAGACGGAAGCACAGGAGTGATGTGCTCAATTCTCTTGGCTCTTGTTAAGACTCTAGCAGCAACATTCTGAATAGGCTGCTGCTGCTAAGGAGAAGAGGAGACAGAAAAAAAGGAGACCTGATCAAATTAAATAGTGATGTAGCAGCTTTTTAATAATTGCAGATGTGTACAACAGTCACAAGTAAAAAAGCTGCTTTTGTCACACTGAAAAACTGTATTCATAAGTTTTAAAGTATAAACAATGTCCTTGAGTCAGGATCTGCTCCCCAGCCCCTGTCACCTGTGTTTTTTCTTCCCATTAGTGTTACTCTCACCAGTTCCTCATTAACCCTGAATGTGTATTTAAACCCTCCATCTTGTGGTCGATTTAGTCAGTTCCTTGTTGTGTATCTTCTGTATCTGTGTCCCTGTCGGCTCTTGTAAATAAATCCGTTCTGTTTATTTGCTGTCCTGCCTGCTCACTTTATCGCTCACCAGTGTTTGGGTCCTCACCTCAGTCTTAAACCATGACACCATGAATTTACTTTCTTGATGTTTACTAAATTAAACACCAATAGAACGTGTCGGATGTAACAATGTCTCTTGGCAGAACATCAGAAAAGCAGGATCAGACTTAATTTACAATGAGTTCTGACTTTTTAAGAATTGCACAAAAGAGCTAACAATGTGGACAGAGCCTCAGAAAGGTGCACCCAAATCCCCTACAATATTCTCCACAGCTTGGGCATGCCGTAGTGTAGAGTGACCAACGCCACCAAACCGGTTTACTCTGACTGAGGATCAATCTACAGGAATATGCAACCAGACTGGCGACTAGCATCATTAGGAGGAGCCCAGCTGTTGTGGATGCGTATGGATATTCTCCATGCTGGTTGCTGAAAAGCATGCAACCATCCAATTCACCAATATGCTCAAAAAAGTATTTGTTTTTCCATTTTCTGCAAAGTTGTAAATGTTTAAAGGGATACTTTGCAACTTTTTCATATTTTTAATCATTTTCTTCAGCCAGTATGCGCTAAAATGACCCTTTATGGGGTTAACGAAAGGCCACCCAGCCCCTATCGCCTCCTGTGGTCAGAATGATCAACTTGCAAATTCAGACTGGTGGCACACAGCAAGGAGATAATTTTTGCTTTTGGTTCTAAAAATGGACACTAGGTGGTGCTAAAAGCAAGCCAAAATGGCCTATATCCCCTTTAATTATTTTTATCTTCATATCAAGCAATGGTTATTGTAAAGTTGCTCTGTAAGACCAACTTTAAGCAATTCTGCAGTTCATGTTTAAGAGCTTGTTTTTGCAATGC